CCTGCTGAATTCCATATTAGGATCAGTGGGCTTGTGAAGGGCTGCAAACAATGGGAGCTCTGTGTGTATTTGTACTTTGGAGGAACTCTGCCAGGACATGGAGAAAGAAAAACACTAGAGGTCTCTCTGCAGAACGAAGTTTTGAGGCTTCCTCCTCCATCCCGCGCTCGAGCTGCTCTCTGGGCTGCCGGCACCGAGACCGGCCGGGAGGGTTTCAGAAGGCTGTGAAAGCTGCGGGTGTTGGACCTACATGGCCAAGCGGGGTACGGGGAGGCTGCGAGCTGTGCCTGCGTCTCAGGGTTGTCTGCTGTTCCAGGCGCGGTCTCCTCTGATCTGGGAATAGGTATTTTCTTCCATTTGGGAGGGGAAAGGGGGGAGGTGGAAAGGCAGACAGAAGCTGCAGAGAGTAAGTAGAGTTTAATGTCAAATTTCTGTGTCTATAACTCTTTACAGAACTTTGTTAGAAATAATAAATAATTGATTTTTCAATTCAGGCACTCAGAAAGTGTCTCTTGCATTTCATCACCCGAAAAAAGAAAAAGAGGGGTTTTCCCCCCTCTAATGTAAATATGTAAGCACAGACAGAGATATAAAAAAGAAGATTTAAGAGTTACAGGAATTAAAAAAATAAAACAAAAATAAAACCACGACATAGCAGTCTGTGGAAAAAACAGCTTTGAACTGTGTGATTCCTGCCTCCTCGTCTGTTTTGTTCTGGTGTTTCACGTGCCTCCTGAGTCTTCTCTCCATTTAAATATATAACAGTCTATATGCACTTGAAGGGCCAAAGTCCCTGCTCCTTCCACAGGAAAGATTTCGCAATTTCCAGCAGAAGTGAGCCAGACATTAACATAAACCCCAGTACAGCAGCCCGGCACATCCTGCTGGCTGCATTTTCCTTCCATGAGACTTGAAGGCTTTGAAAGGGGGAAACAACCCCCTGCTGGGGCTCCATGGGGAAGCACACCGGAGCTACTTGCTTCCCCTGCCTTGCTTATGCCTGGTTAGAAAGAAATTCCCCAAAACACACACAGGCTTGGAGCAATGCACACCTGGAAGTGGGAAGACCAACACAACCTTAGAAAGGAACTGTCTTAGCCCTAAACTGCATGAGTGAAGGCAAACACAACCTTACTAATGAGCCTCCTTGGCCCCAGACTGTGTGTCCTTCCATTTTTGCAGTGAAGGGTTGCAGCAGACCTATCTGCAGTCTCCCCTGGGCAGGCTAAACCCCATGTCTATCAGAGCTCTTCAGTGATCTAACTGTATGTTGGACCAGCTCTGAACACCTTCCCCATGAGATGGTAGATGGGTAAAGCTTGTCAACAAGCTTGAAAAAGGTTTGTCTGTTTACCTGGAGAGCCCCAGGGAGCTCTGTGTGCCATCTCTTATCAGGAGTCTTGGTGGTCCAGTAATCTGTGCACCATGTCCCATGTTCTTCATCTTCTTGATGTCCCCCTCCCTGTTGGCAACATGGATCTTAGTAGGCAGTGTTAGGCCCAGCATCACACCCGCTGTCACAGGGCATCACTAAAGGGTTATGGGTTCAGGTGGCATCCTCTTAGCTTCAAAACTACAACCAAAGGCTGAGGTTTATCTAAGAAAACTTGTGAGCTCTGGGCATCTAGACCCCCATTCTCCAAGCATTTACTCTGCTGATCATTTCCACCATGAGCAGCACAGCTGGGTCATCCTGAGGGGCATCAAGTGTTACAGGGATTTATTCTTTAAGCTTCTTTTCAGTCGCAATTGAGGTCAAACTCCCAGCCTGTGCCTCTGTTTAGCTATTACGTATCTGAGCAGGTACCAGCACACCAATACCCTCTATGCCTTTGCTTACCAACCTAGTGACCTTCTGAGGTAGGTTTGCCAGATATATAAGTAAGGGTATGCTGTTGCAAGGTAACTGCAGAGCCTCAGGAAGCAAAAAATTTCAGTAACTCATGGTTCAGTTCCCCATTGCCTCTATCAGACAAAAGCACCAGCTGTCTTGCTTCCCATTTTACACAGGTGTAATCTATCAGTTAGCTTTTTCAACATCAGACACATGGTAGTTAAGGCCAGCCTTAATACTGCGTAGGCCAGGTTTAGGCCAATAACAAAATTCCCATGGCTCATTCCTCTATGCTCAGCAGGGCTGTGTTGCTTTGACCGTAAAGCCGGGCAGGCTTAGCAGGACTGTGTCCACCTCCATTTTTTTGCAAGAGGTTAAACAATGAAATTCCCTTGCTGTTTCTCTGGAGGCTTTAAAATACTTTATTCTCCTCTCTACCTTTCTTTAAAGGGTCTTTCAAAATTGCTTAAAGGGGATAGCTTTTGTGATACTGAAAATACCAAGGGGCTGAACTGGAGGGTCTTTGCAAACCCTTCCAATTCTAACCTCTGATGTATGGGAGTCTTAGTGGGGAACCAGTTTTCATCAAGATGCATCAGCAAAAGAACTTACATCCCTTAGGGTATATAATGGAAGCATAGCCACAGTGTTAGAGCCTATGTAAGGCTTGTCTGGAAGAGGCCAACAGGGTGAGTTTATCTTAAAGGTGAAGAAGGCTGACATCTTGTCTGTATAACTCAAATTCAGTGTTACATTTTTTCTTTACCTATACAGATGAATTGTACAACTTCAGAGGAGTTACAATAAAGTTATAAAATAAGACCTGTATCTGGACTAAACCCATACGTTTTCTTTAATCTCATTACTTTAGCTTGGTTTGGCATCATTCAGACAGCTAGAACAAAATACCTTAAGAGCTGGTTTAATCGCAACAAAGTAGTATAATCACATTGTTTTACACTTTTCCCTCAGGAGACCAAGACAACATTAACCCCTCTGCTGCTCTGGGGTTGTATCTTTTACTTGCAAAGTTGGCCCTGAATCTGCTGTGTGAATTAACAGCCAGTCCTGTCACCTAGAAGTCTAGCAAAGTTTGAGGCAATCCTGTTACGTTCTACAAAAGATTTCTTAACCTGCAAATTGCAAGTGGCAATGCTTCAGGCAAAGCTGACCCTTCTGCAGCTGCTGTGCATGTTTCAGCTCCCCTAAGACTGGTTCTGCACAACCGAGCTGCCTACAAGCCCCAGCGTGGAAGTCACAGGGTTATTGATAATGATTAGCAAAGCTCAGAAGGTTTCATGATTTAATCTGGATCCAGGGCTTTTTTGCTCTTTCACTGATCAGGTTAGAAATGGTTAGAGTTGCTCACAGGATTTCAGTCGTTCCTATCTGACAAATCCAGTAAAAGCAGGCTGATTCCAAGCCACAAACTTTGAAAAGACATAACCGAAGTAAAAAAATGAACCCAAGTAGTCTGAATGCTTGGAAAGCTTATTTAAATGTGTGTGGTTCTTGGGTATCCAACCCAGTCTGTTTGCTACTCGCTTTACAAGCTTCTAGCCAAGACCACCATGGCAAGAAGGGAGGCTAAGATAGATAATAGGTATGGGCAGGTGCTATGAGCACTGTGGAATGAAGATGTCACCTGAGGCACTTTCCAGCAAAGTTTCTCAAGGAAACAGCTCTGCTCTAGATGAAGTGCCTCTGACCTTTTGTTCATTAACAAATTAACTTGCCATAGCTCTATTTCTGGGACTGCAGACTATATCCAACTCCCACATGTCTGTGTGGAAGCATCAGCTTCATCTTCATCAGCACAGACCTGACGGTGTGGTCCCTGGAGATGCTTCCTTGTGGATTAGCAAGTTCAAGGCTGGTGCAAAAAATTTTTGTGACAAGTTCTGTAGGAGATGAAGGACATGCAAATTTGTTAGTTAGCTCTGCAATGAGCAATATGTTTGCCAGTTAACTCTAGTCTATATTTCTCTGCAGGCTCGCAGAGGGATAAAGGGGACATCATGCTCTATTGTGCTCTCCCTGCTCTCTTCCCCTGGCCAGCCCTGCCATTCCCATGTTTCTCCAGTGCCTCCTGAAATGCAGTGGTCTGCCTTTGTGTAATCTTATGAGTTTAGAACTTGACAGTCAGAGGAATTTTCTCCCTTATGGGGCAGCTCCTTGGAGTGGGTGGTTTTGAAGGCAACTGCACTACCATGAAGCTATTCTCCCCATGTCTCGCTGCTAGAAACAGCCACCCTCCTTCCACCTACCAGTGTTGATGTGGGAATGAAGTTTCTGGCACTACTACTGAACTGTAAATTGACTTGAGGCAACTCTTCTCACATTTTTTCTTATCCTTTGTCTAATCTGTTTAAATTGTCAGAGTTTTTTAGGGCAGGGATTGTGTTGGTATTGGATTGAGCATACCAGAACCATATTACACTTAACTATTGCCGTGCTGTTCAAAGCCAGGTTACCCCGGCTGTCAGATTCAAGACCTTTCCTGGACTATGTTATGGTAAAAGCCAGACTTTGGCAGTTAAAAGAAAGTGGGACTCTAAGACATCCCCACAGTCACCATATTCTCAGTGGAGGACTCCTAGTCCCAGATAGAGCAGCCCTGGGGTGGTTTCTCTTTGTTCTTGGGTTGCCTGTATTGCCCTCCACATTGTGCTAAGAATAACTGAAATGGGGGTACTTTATCTTTATTCCCTCCCTTTATCCTCTCTTCCTCTCCCTTGTTGGCAGCCCGATTCATCAGCCTCCCACCCCAGTTAAGTGGTCATTGAGACCTCAAGTGAATTTGATATATTGAAAAGAAGAAGCAGCAAATGAAGGAGGAAAAATAACGGTTTAACAGTGATCACAGGAGGGGTGGAAGAGCTCTGTATGAAGGCTTTTTAGAGGCAGTTTGCTGAAGAGCAGGTGCTGAGGTTCAGCTTTGAGGCTTTTTGAGTGAGAGCAAGCCTCTCCACAGCCGTCACACACCGTTAGTCATGCTGCCACCATCACCACCACCATGGTGGTCCATGCCAGCAGCAGGGGGTTCCCTGTTTCATGCTGTTGCCATGGATATAATTAATGTAATTGGGTTTTCCTTT